AGTAAACTTATGTACATATAGATAAGTATTTACATACTTAGAGTAACTAAACTAGGCCAGTAAATAAGCTAGCAAATAAGCTGCATTAGTTATCTTGGTAACTGTATTTATAAGAAATTTGATAAATGAGTGTCACATGGAACTTTTGCAAATAGAAAATACATATATTTTATAAATTTTGCTTTATTACTAACTCATGTATTTCATTGTGTACTTATAAGTATCTACATAAAAGACCATCAAACATTTATATTAAATTTTCAACATTAACACTCAGTAACAAAATTTATTCAAAATCTCACTTCTCACTCTACTCCTTTTTTTAGCGGAACACACATGGGTTTCCACAAGCATTTACAGCGATTTGCCACCCTTCGCCATTCATGCCGGCCACGACTCGGACGGTGATCCAATCTATGTTGGCCGTGCCTACCACAATGGTGATATATTACCTGCAAAAATCGTTCCCAACAAGAAACAAGCCTACGTCGCGTGGGGTGGTGAGGAGATCAACAAGCAAGACATCGAAGTGTTGACCGGTCATCATTACAGCTGGATACCAGCTAGCGGTGGTGAAGTGCCACCACATGCTTTGCGTGTTGGCCAAACCGGCGATGGTGAGCCGCTATTCATTGGACGCGGCCATTGGCAAGGCAGTTTGACACCCGGCAAAATCCACCCATCGCATGGCTGCCTATACATTCCGTATGGTGGACATGAACAGCGGCTCGATAGCTATGAGGTGCTCGTACAACCTGAAACCTGGGTCAACTCATCGGGTAGCAATCTAGTGCCTGGCACTATTCACGCCGGTCATGATGCTGATGGTGATGCCATTTACGTGGGACGCGCCTACCATGAAGGTGATCTGCTGCCCGCCAAGGTTATTCCGAATAAGAATTGCGCTTATGTACCATTCGGTGGTCGTGAGGTAGTAAAGCATGATTTTGAGCTTTTAGCCGGTTACGGTTACGGTTGGGTACCCGATGCAAATGGCGGTGTGCCACCAGGCGCTGTTGTCTGTGGCCGCACCAGCGACGGTGAGCCTTTGTATATTGGCCGTGGTCACTATGGTGGCAGTCTGACACCCGGTAAGATTCATCAATCGCATGGCTGCTTGTACATTCCGTTTGGTGGACAGGAAGTAAGAGTGCAAAACTACGAAGTTTTGGTGCGCGTTTAAAGGACAAAGTACCGCATAATGGCTTATGACAACGAGATGAGCTTTCATCTCAGCCACTCCGCAGCAACGTAGAATAATGGAATACATTCATAAAAAATTTGTAAACACATATGTATGTTTACGTGCATATGTATATTGCCCTTTTTCAACTTGTTAAATACATTCTTGTTTTATACAAATGTTTTTTCTTACAACTACATACATACATTCATTGATGTAAATGTATAAACATTTTACCTTGGTCTTCCAGATTTTTGTTCTGTATCGTGAACATGCATACATTTTATAACTCAAATACATAGATATTTGGTAAAATTCGAGCCATGTATTGTGTCACATAAATTAATAAAAAATTTTTACATAAAATTCGAAGAATGGTTACGCAGATTTGATGATATTAATGGATATATCGGTTTTAAAATTGAATGCGCCCCATTTTTTATTAACAGTAAAAGTCAGCGTCAAAAAATTTCACGCACTTGTCTATTTCATAAGATTCACAATGTTTTTCATGACAAATATTTTTCGGTAATTTTTATTAAAACTAAAAAAAAAAAAAAAGTTTCATGTATGTGGTATAAAATTGAATAGGCTTCAAAACCGCGTGCCAAGATTTTTTCTAAAAAGGCTGATGGATGCTTTGGTGAAAAGTTTGTAAAATTTTATTGTTTTTTTTATGAATTCTGTATAAAGTTTGAAACTGTAATATATACACTTTCAGTTTAATAATGAACTATAGTTTGATTAAAAATTGCCGAAGAATATTTATTATGAAAAGTATTGTGAATATTGTAAAATAAATCAGTGAGTATATTTTTTTACGCTGCCTGTAGTGTCGGAAAAAGAAAAAGGGTTGCGACATTTTAACAAGTTCATTCTATAAAATAAATATATATATATAAGTCATAATTTCAAACTTTGTGCAAAGATTAAAAAAATTTTGTCTAAATTGCAAACTTTTTAATAGAATTTATAGAAAAAAATTTTGTTATGCAGTTTTATAGCCCATTAAATTTTAATATAACAAAGTGCAAGTGTGAAGGTGCTTAAAAATTTCGCTAATTTTTTATATATTTTTTTGCGGACGATGCACCGCGGTGTTACGATTTCCTTCCGTACAAAGTACATATGTTTGAAACAATTTTTTATATGGAAAGAAATGCTAAAAAAATATCCAAAAATCAGCGAAACTTCACACTTACACTTTATTGCATTAAGATTAATTGGGCTATAAAACGGCACACCAAAATTGCTTCCAAAAATTCTATTTAAATTATTTGCAATGTAGATGAATTTCTGAAGAATTTTCCTATTGCAATTTGTCCACATGCCGTGTGCCATTTAATTTTCAGGTAACGATATTGTTTTTGGCTGATACTCCCCGGAAATGATATATGCGGGAAGACCTTAATGATTAAAACGTTAATCCAGATTAATGATAAAACTAATATTATAAATGTGAAAGTTTGTGGGCGAGTGTGTGAGTGCATTTGTTACTCTTGCACGCTAAAACGGCTGAATACGGCCAATTTTTTCCACAAACGCTAGAGGGTTTTAAAAACTGTTTCAGTGATCCTAGATTTATAAGCCCTGAAAAGGCATCTTTAGTTAATTTAATTAATTTAATTTAATCTTTAATATTCAGTACTAATATCACATAATTAGTAGAATATTTTTCCATAACTTTGTACTTTGTGCTCGGGATTTTTACCCCGAAAAAATTTTTTTCGGACCGGACCGAACTGAATTGCAAAGCCTACCTTTGAAGGGATCCACTTCCCTTTCCAAACTTTGAGAATTTCTTTACTTTTGCAAAATTGGTCAGGCGCTTCCTTAATATTTTGTTTTCGATCCTTGAAAAAGCATTTGTGAAGTGCAGAAGAAAAGCGTACTAAACGAAAAATTCAATAAGAAAAATTTCAGAAAAACCGCCAAAAGCGTATCCGTTTCAAAACAATTTTCGGTTCTTGTCTGTACATTGTGTCTGCCGTACACTTTTTTCTTATTTCCGATCCATTTAATATCTGCCATTTTATTTACAAGACAAAATACATTGGGATCATATTAAAAAAAAAAATTTTGCAAACTTTTTTGGAGGTTGGGGCTCGATATGTACATAAGTAATTAAATAAATACGAAAGTTTTTTATTGGGAACGGGAGCGGAGCTCGGAGCGAAATAAAATACCGGAGCGGAGCGATGAAAAAAACCTAAACCTAAACCTAAAGCTAAAATCAATTAATTAATAAGTTAAATAAAATATTATAAGAGATTAGTTGTCAAAGGTAAGGGGTTCCAAAAAGTTAATATCGAATAATTAATTAGTTAAATAAGGGGCTAAAAGCGCTTTATTTTGAAAATATTTTGTAGGCGGGCTGCCACCTGTTTAAAAAGTTAAAATCAATTGAAATAACAAGTTGAACAAGATATTTCAATATGAGTATCAAACCGGAGGGTGTTAAGAAAACTTTTTTTTAGTATTTTTCTAAAGAATTTCAAAATCAATTTAATTTAGAAGTTAAATAAAGTATTGTGGGAACCAAGCAAGAAAAATACGAAAACCGTATCTAGTTGTAAAATATTTTTGACGAGAGCTGCCGCCAGTTTAGAAATTAAATTGACAAACGAATGAAAAGCTGCTAATATTGTAAATTTTAAAGTTTGTGAGCTTGTAAGTATGTTTATTTGTCTCTCTTTGTATACAATTTGGCATACAGATAGCTTAGGTTATGGATTAAAATAAGCATATTTTTTGAAAAGGTATGCCACCTGCTTAAAAAATCTACTTTAAACTATAAGTGCATCTAAATTTTACAATATGCCAAACGAACGAGATTTAAGAAAGCGTTATTACCACAATATTTTTAACAGGATTGCCACCTATTTAAAAAGTCATATTAAGTTTTATTATTTAATTGAATGAAGGGTATGGTAAAGAAATTAGGTTTAAAAACCTTTATTTTGAAAGAGGGTTGCCAACCCTTCTAACATCACATCAAATTTTTTAAGTTAAATAGAATACTGCAATATGGCTGTAAATCGAAAGAAAACTTTGTTTAGAAAATATTTTCAAATAGGGTTGCCATCTGTTAAAAAGTCAAATTAAATTTAGTGAATAGGTAAAATGAAACATTAAAAAATTATACCGAGTAAAACCAAAAATGTTTAGGAAGGCTTTATTTCGAAAATGTTTAAAAGTCTAAATAAGTTTAACAAGTTGCTCCAAAGAAATATTACAATACGGATGCCAAACAAAACAGATTGCAAAAGCTTTATAACACAGTTTTTAGAGGGTGTGCCTGTTTAGAAAATCAAATTCAAGTGGAGTATTTTTAGTATTTACATCCAACAATTTTATTGAATCTGAGGCCGTTTATTGTAAACAAACAAAATTAATTAACAAATTGTTTTCCCACAATAATTTTTCATTAAAAACGAACTCGAGCTCAATAAAATTGTTTGAATATTATTTTTTATTAGGCCAATAAACAGAAAAAATACAAATACTTAACACATACATTGTACATATTGTATTATACTGTTAAGGTTTTTTCTTGTTTTAAAAATAAAAACGTTTCAGATAAATGTTTTCTTCCTTCCGCCTATTTATAAATTGGGTGACCTCACGATTGCCGCCGGCAGGGGCCTCGAGGCTCCTTAAGTCGACTCTGTTATGAAGAATGTTAGATTCTGAAGAAAGGTGCTGCTGAAATAAATTATCATGTATAATTAAGTAGTGCCTTTTTGATTTGGCTTTTTACTATGCAGTACAAACAAGTGCTTTAGCAAGCATTTTTTCGATAGATAGATTTTCCCTCTTTCAAAGTTGACTACTTAAAATTCAGCGTTTGTTATTTATTTATAAAATTTTTTATAACATTTTTTTAATAACATATAAAACTTTACATATATTATAGCATTCATTTAAATATCCAAACTCCCAGTTTTTTTTAGTCAGATCCTAATTTGCAGTCATTGACACCAAACCTTCCCCACGCGGTTGACAATTAATTCCGCACCAGCACTTCATAGTTGGTGAGAGTCACTTCTTCGCCACCAAATCCAATATACAAGCATCCCTGAGATGGATGAATCTTGCCGGGTGTCAAACTGTTGGCATGATAACCACGTCCCACATACAATGGTTCACCAAGGCTAGTAAGTCCACAGCTAACAGCCCCAGGTGGCACTGAACCATTTGCATCGGGCACCCAGTGATAGTTATGTCCCACCAATACCTCTATATCATGTTTGTTCACCTCCTCACCACCCCAGGCGACATACGCTTGTTGCTTGTTGGGCACAACTTTAGCAACTACTACATCGCCTTTGTGGTAGGCGCGACCGACAAAGATCGGATCACCATCCGAATCGTGACCAGCTTGGACGGCAAATGGCGGCAAATCGGTTTCGATGTTGGTGGAAATCCATTCATGTTCACCTGCTAGTTAAAGGGATGTTGTATTAGATGTAAGTAAATTAATTAAGTGTAATGCTTGAAGTTAAAAATTTGTGCAAACATGCATATCTACATACAGTCAGCGGCAAAAATATGCATACCCTGGCGATTATATTTTCCATCCCAAATTTTTTTATTTTTTAATTTTTTGTAAAAGTTTGATTCATTCAACAACAAAACCATAGAATACATTTTTTTTAATTTCATGCAGAGCTCGGGGAAAATGCAAGAAATACCAAGAAACTTTAAATTTTTCAATTCGCCACCAAAAAAATTTTACTACAAGCGTTATGACTACAAAACTGCATTCCCAAAATTTCTCCAAGAAATCGTATTTCGATGAAAATTTCTTTGAATTTTTTTCATTTTCAGGGGATCTGTGTGAAACTAAAAAACTATTCTTGCCTTTGAATGAACTATATGTTTATAAAGAATAAGGAAAATGTGGTATCGAAAATATAAATAAATAAAATCGTCAAAACGTCAGAGTATGCATATTTTTGAAGCTGACTGTATGTATGTGGTGTAACAATGCAAATCGGCGTACGCGGCAAGTGTGAGATTTCATGTTTTTTTTTTTAATTGACATTGGAAGTCTTGAACGGAATTAAAAAAGTGCATTTTTTTAAATTAACACTTATGATATTTTACATTGACAACGATTATATGTATGTAAATATGTAAGTATTAACTTGGAAATACATATATATTGCACAAAGATTGAAGTTATACTTATGAATAAACCATAAATGTGTTAAGTAGCTTCCTGTTATAAAATTATTTTGTGATAATCATAGCTGTTGCCAATCCATTGGGTTTAAGGGATCGGCATATCGATAAATATCGTCGTTTAAAGTACAAAACCGCGTAACTGACATTTGCTGCCAAAAACTGGATTTGCTCACAAAAGCTCTTGGCTCAATCCTTATCCATTCGTCCTGAAATATACTAGCCAGAAATGCGATTGCTTTATACAAAATATAACCATTTTGCATTATTTTGATAAGCGATTTTGTACTTTAAACGACGATACGTATGTATGTATAATTATGTACACAAGTTAGTCATGCATTCGATACGTAAACAACTTCGGCGAAGAAAGAATCCTAAACTTATCGAGCCCTAACCGCCAAAATAACGTAAGCGACATTTGTTTCAAAATTTTATTTTTGAAACAGAAAATTCCTAGAGCGTCTAGATGCATTTCTGCATCAAAAAGACAAATTTGAAAAAGATGTCGCTTACGTTATTTTGGCGGTTAGGGCTCGTTATGTTTGCGGGTTTTACAGCATACAAATTTCCCAAGGGTAATGATGCTGAAGTGACAGTCCTTGGCCAGTTATGACAGTTCCACAGATTTTTGTTCGAAGAATACTGGAACATTCTATATGCTTACACGTCCTTCTTCGCCGAAGTGCTTTTAAGCGCATTTGTTACGTAAATTTTTTTGCGTGTCCCCTTCGCGCCGTTAAAACACACTAGATATTTAAGTTGTTTTCGGTAGATTCGGTAATGATCTTGAGTTGAATACATACATACATACGTTTGAACTCCAAAACTCCTCATGAGCGCCTGCATATGCTACATATTGAGATCGATAACACAGGGCAACACTGATTTTGGAGCGGTAAATGTTAAAGCTGTTTTTGATAGACTCTTTTTGGCTGATTACGAATCCGTAAGTAGAAAGTTTCCATCAGGTCCAGATTTTGAGAAAAACGAGGTCAAAATTTAAAAAAAATGCGTTTTTGCAATATTTGAGAAGCTCCAGCAAAGAAATAAAAGAGGATAAAATCTTCCACTAAGGCCTAAATTGAAGCTAGAATCCTCGTCTACTGTCCCTGAGAATAGATACCATCCCTGCATCTTGACCTGATGGTCTCTTATGGTCATTTATTGAACAATAACTGGAAAATTATGATTTTGAATAACAAAATTTTGGTAAAAATCAGTTTTTGCTGTGCAATAAAACACTATAAGTGAGCTTAGGGTCAAGGTGCAGGGATGGTATTTTTAGGGATGGTAGTTCAGGTCTTAATTTAAGCCTAAGTGAAAGATTCTATCGCCTTTTGTTTAATTGCTAGAGCTTCTGAAATATCGCAAAAAACGCGATGTTTTGACAATTTCACCTCGTGCTTCTCAAAATCTGGAGCTGATGGAAACTTTATACTTACGGATTCGTAATCAGCACAAAAAAGTTGATCAAAAACAGCTTTAACATTTGCCGCACCAAACTTTTTTTCCATTTTTGTTGACCTGTGTTATTTGATTATGTTTTATCAAATAACATAGAAAATCCATTAAAAGTGTCGATCTATCATTTGCTGAATCAAAACTATTCACACACCATCTAAGTATTTTCTTCCATATAAAAAAATCGACCATACCTTGTATGGAGAATAAGGTCGATAGCCGTCAGCAAAAAATTTATAAAAAATCAGCGCGATTTCGTAGCTACTTCAAATTTGTACATTGTTATATTATATAGTTTCGTTTGCAGCATGAACCATATTTTGTTACAGAAATATCGAAAAAAATATAGCTTGCAAAACCTTGTTAATATTTCAAAAACCCAGGGTGCACGCAGAAATAATGGAGCGATATAATTCCAGCGGTGTAGATATAAATAAATTCACAGTTTGTCAAGTATTTTGCAAAACTTTTAATGCAACAGTTTGCGTTTATATAGCTAATCAAATTTAGAACGATTCGATGTTAATTAAAAGTTGTCGGATTATTTTGACCATATCAATTTTCTTGTGCTCCTTTCGGACTTGGCAAATTTGCCTTTCACTGAATTTAAACGGATAAAGATAACACAACCTTAATAGTTTTGGAAACGATGTTTTCTTATATCAAAATATGGGGTTTCACAAAAAATAGACTTATCAATTTCTCACTCTAGGCTAGGGATATCTGTTTATAAAGAATTCTGCGAAAAATGTTGTATTTGTAAACTTCACTTACCCATTATATTATTTTCTCTTGTTTATATGTATGTAAGTAAATAATCTATAAATAAGTAGATACTATTTATATATGTATGTCTTTATTTACAGAATGTCAGTAAACGATATTGAATTCGTCTGCCGTTGTTTTTAATTGCAGTGTTGCTTAGACTTTAATGTTTCAATTCAGACTGCATACAATTTCACAATCAGCAAAGTAATCAGATGAATGCTAGTGATGTGCTGAGTGAATACTTTTAAGTATTGATCGATATTCGGTGCCGATTTAAAAAGTATCCAATACTCTCGATAGTCGGTACCGAATCGTTTAGGTTTCGAATAAAAGCGCACATAGGCCAAAAATATGGAAAAAACGGTTCAGGGGAGATTCGCCTATCAAAACCCGAATTCAAATGAAAGATGTATGTCGGTTCGAGGCCATAATGCAGAGAAGCTCCTACTTGTTGGAATCATTTTTTTCCAGCTGAATCGGACGATATTATTTTTGTAGGCCTGGGGCAGATTCTGTAACCAGTTAGCGAAAATTTTCGAATCAGTATCGGTTTTGTTGACGTATGATGTTAAAAAATTGTTACGTCAACAAGTGCGATATCGATCCGAAACTTGTCGCTAACTGCTTACAGAATCTCCCCCCTGAAAGGCTTCTTCATCCGTCAAAGCATTTTGCTTGAACCTTGGATCGACCAAGGTTAAAACTGATAAAATAATATTTCTCTTTTAGCCGATATCATATAAATTAGTAATGCAATTTTTTTCTAAACTTGAAATGCATATAATGGCGAAGGTTTAATGTAAAGAATCGGTATCGGGTACCGAAAAGGAAGTATTGGGTACCGAAACCTTTTTTAAGTATTCGGTATCGACAATTCAGCACATCACTAATGAATGCATATACATACAGTGCTGAGTAAAACAAAATTTCTGTTAACTATCCGCTGTGACTTTACAATTTCAATTTACTGCCGTCCCTAAATTGGAGCGCTAAACATTTCGTTCTCCATTGTCAACGAGTTTCAGCGCGCGCTATCCGTTGACGTTTTCTTATTAGCTCTCGTTTTTATTCTCGTTTCCTCTTTAACTTTTTTATTTCCCTGTCAAAAATGAGAAATCCATTTGCTCGGCGTTAGCGCCGCGTTATTGTGGGATGCTTCATACAAATTGTATGGGCATGAGGATTTTTGACAATTGCTTGGCGCTTGACGCTTGAAGCGCTAAGACGGCAGTTAAACATCTAGAGAGAGGGTTTGATTACAGCGTGCGACAGTCTCTTTTATATACAAACAAAAAATCAGTATACATATATGCCAGCAAAACTCTGAAATTTCAAACTCCTTAAAAAGATTCTGACGTCAGAGAGAAAAGACATATACATATATTTGGTCCCTAGTTTCGTGAGTATAGTAGAAGAACAAGAAGAGATCTCGTAATACGAAGTGAAGAAAATTGAACATTCTTATAATACGTATTTTCTATATGAAGTGCTCTTTTTTTGTTCGCTAATGTGCAGTACAAACACATACAGTAAGCCCTCGCTAAAAGCAACTTTCGATAAACGCAATACCTCGGTTAAAGCAACGCCCAAATGTTTAGCATTAGTAACTCAGTAATTGCAACTTTTCAAAAATTTTTGCCTCAGTAAACGCAACTTTCTATCCATAATTTCTTATTTCGTTTAATTTTTGTCATCAATGGGTTCAGTTTCAGTAGAAGGACCTTAACTTTTCAAAAGCTAGAGAGGCGGCCGTCGACGAAAATGAGTCCTCAAAGAAAATGCAAAGGAAAAGGAAAGAAAAGGAAAAGGCAAAACGTTCTATGTCACTTATTACCTCTGAAGCTTAATTGATCTGTTATCTGTACCTGATCGATTCTGGCAACCGTTCATCTTCATCAGCCAAAGGTAGACAGTTTTTTCATTCGTTTATAAGGGTGTAACGATTGCAGATGCATTTGCATTCTGGTGCAAGTAAGAGACCATCTAAGTGTCAAGGGTACTAATAGACATAGAACTTTTAGCAGTATCACCGACGATATGGGCGGAGTATTTGTTCGGAGCAATATTTTTTAAGTAAGAGTATACACAAATTCAAACTATATAGAGAAAGCAGTATATTGTAACTTTCTTGGTCGAAATTTATTTTTAATTGTACCACAAAATTGTACAATTGTAATTAGTTTTGTGAAGTAGTTTCTTAAATATGAAGAAACATACACAATTTTTGTAAATGAAAATTAATTTCGTTCAAAAAAATTACAATTCATTACAATACAAAATTGGGAGGGTCAAACGTCATTTTTAGTATATAATTCATTCACCTTTTTTGCTTAGAAGCGAACGTAGAATTCGAATTTGCCATAATTTTTTAACCGACTTCCAAAAAAGGAGGAGGTTATCAGTTCGTCGGAACACTTTTTTTTTATGTATGTTACCGCATAACTTTGGACCATGTCAACCGATTTCGATAATTGCAACGGAAAGGTAGTGTCTCAGAGGTGGTCCCATACTAATTTGGTTTAGATCCGATCATTGAATCATGAAATATATAGATATATATATTTTTTTTTAAGTCGGTTTTTTTTTGCTAAAAACTACTTGTTTTGAAATTAAATTACTCTGCCTTAACGTACGTTTGTATTTCGATTTTTTATGCATATAAATGATTTTTTAGTGAATTAATTTAATACTTTTGTTTTGTCTTACCGTGCACAATATTATTTAACTTTTGATACTTTTGACTTCAGGTTAAATTCTAATTTCCATTTGTGATTCGATTATTGCTACAAGCTCAATCCAAGCAACTGACCGAATATTTACAGGTTGCTTTTACCGCGGGCGTACTGTACACATATATGTATGTAAAAACGTACAGCTGCGGTCAACTAATTAACAACGTATCTGTACAAAAGTATATACACTCGTTTTGCTTATAACGCTTAACTTTCGCTACCAATATCGATCAGTTGTTGTTTTATATATAATCAATGTTTTAGAAGCAGTTAACTAATTCAATTTAATTTAAATCATATTTTAATTTTATTATATGTATATGTATATAGTAGTATTCTTAAATCAATGTTCCAGCCCAAATTACGTTTTATGGAAAGGAAATATTACTTTTTACCATCAGGGGTGGCATTTTTTTATGAACTAAGGATAATGTTAAGTAGTTTCAATTTTACAAGAGAAGTTAATCGGGATATTTTATTTTATTTCGATACGTTTTTCTAGCAGTTTTCATTTGGTTAAAATAGTGTATTTCTACAAAAACTTTTTTTTAAAATTAAGTGATTTGCTCCATTTCCTAACATTACAAAATTCAGTAATTATGGATTTACCTCATTTATTTACTGGTTATGTACAGTACTGCCGTTTCTATATTTGTCTAATTTTTAACATAAGGCCACTTAACTGCTTAAAAGAAAAAGGTGCTAGTATGTTACAGTGTAGAGTGACGTGGAAATTATTGGTGACAGAGATTTAGATGGGTAATGCCCAACGATAATACGCTACCAAATTTTCTGAGAAGGCTACAACGTTGATTTGGTGGGGCTTAGTTATAGTTCAAATACAATACAAATATTTATCTACGCATTGTTGTATTCTTACTGATTGCTCTAAATAAATTCTTCTTCTAAATAAATACCGGTGACATTGGGCTACATATATTATTAAACTGAACCTGCCTTAATTGTAGTGGCTTCTTGTATGCCGTTGTTAATTAGTTGACAACAGCTGTAGACTGCCGGCATTGTTTTATCTTATCAGCTCCAAGCGATGCGAATAACAAAGATAAAATCACTAATAGGGAAAGCCTACATACATATCGCACACCATCTCCAAAACTGACACAACTCAAAATTTGACATTTTTGAAATTATGCACTAAAAATATACACAGAGCTTATATTTACCTTTCAGCAAAAGCTGGATCAAATTTTTGTTATAATTTGTTAAAAAATCCTAAGGTAAAGTCTTACTTGCCCATATGATTAACATGTGCTAAGAAATATTTTTTCGTATTTTCTGACGAACATGTAATTTTTAATTGTGTCACTTTTGAAGATGGCATGCGATATGTGTTTACATACGCCGTACATTCCATAGGACCTGAGTTCGATCCCTGATTCGTGTATGTCAAATCGAACATACTTTTTGTCAATGGCACTGTGAATATTCTTCGAAATTATAGAGAAAATGCTGACACACATTTTTCTGATATACAGTCGTGTCGCTATATAGTGAACGCCCGCTATAGTGAACACCTCGATATAGTGAACACCGAAATATTTACACGGAGTACTCTAAATAGTGAACAATCGAAAGCCTCTAAATAGTGAACAAAATTTTAAAAGCAACGGCAAGCTTAAATTGACAAAAAACACCAAACTTAATCGGAAATGAAAACGGGTATTCCCCGAAATTTACCACCTTATGTTTATTATTGGAAAAGCTGCTGCTATTTCATGATAATGTTTTTTGTTCCAGCCGCTTGTGAGTGGATGTGCGCTGTTTTATGTGTTTTTAAAAGTTTTTGTGTGCTAATAAATTTAGTGTTATCATTCCTGCGAGGAAATTCCTTTCGTTGAAGCAAAAATCTGAAATTGTTGAAAAAATCGGAAAAGGAGCTGGTGTTTCATCCTTGGCAAAAACGTATGGTGTAGCTAAATCAACAATTTCAGGAATAAAGAAAAATAGTCGCAATATTATATTCTACCAGACGATTGGAGCATCTACGTTATACAAATGGCAACGCAAAAAAAACTATCAAGTTACTGGGGAAATGCTTAAGGAAAAGGCAATAAAGTTGCACGCTGACCTTAAGGAAGTAGAAGGTAGCTTTCATGCCAGCTCTGGTTGGTTATCTGGATTTAAATCTCGCTTTGGAATCCGATTGTTAAAAGTGTGCGGCGAGAAACTATCATCAGATACCCAGGCAATTGATCCCTTTAAGCACAAACTCAGAAATATTATTTACGAATTAAAGCTTTGCGAGGACCAAATTTACAACGCAGACGAGACTGGTTTGTTTTGGAAAATGCTTCCTGACAGAACGTATGTCAGCCAAACCGAAAAAACAGCTCCGGGGAGAAAATCAGAAAAGGCCAGAATTACTTTTCTTGCTTGTACAAATGCCACTGGACAGCATAAAGTCAAACCGTTAATAATTGGGCGTGCC